ATTGGTGGGTTGTGTGAAAGCTAAAATAACCTCGCAAACAACGTTTTCTATCAAGTTCTGTTTAACATCATTTTAAAGTTTTTTTAAAGAAAAGAAGAAAGGTTAGTAATGATAGTAACACATTACATTTCACTTGGTCAGCTTGGCAGTTTGCTTATTTATCATTTTCAACCTGATGTTTTGTAAAGGAGTACATAGCATAATCAGATGCTACAGTTTTGATAAACACAGCGATTAACATTAAAAACAGCGCTTCAACTATTCTATTCTATTCTATAAAGCTGCCCTAAATTAAAGATTAGAACTTGCCGAGAGCTTGCTATAAAATTCACGGCTTTTGAATAACCTTATACACATGCACTTTCACAAGGTGCGGAAATCGCTCATAACTATGTTGGATGAACGAATAGCGATTATTCTTTTACGTCATGCATATCTGTTGTATTCAGGTTTGGCACCTCGTATGTAAAGAAAGGATTAAGAATGCTTATCGTCTGGCTCTAATCGGTTTAAGAGATAGGGCTGGAGAGATTTCCATTGAAATTAATTGATGACATCCAATTTACGTGTCAGCAAAACACATAAACTTTCTTAATTCTCCTGTTGTAACAGCTTCTTCGTAAAGTAAAGAAACTTTCCCAATGTTTCCTGTTGATCCCATAATTAAGCTAGATATATTCCATTCCACGTAAACCACAAAAAAAAATAATAAAAAAACAACAAACAGGCGTGGTTATGGACTTCTTAATAAAAGATCGGACCCAGGCAAATTTTAGAAGCTCCTTTGTTAATAACTTTCATCCTTGTTTGGTTAGAGATATTGCGTTCTAACACCCGCATAAATTATGACAAAACTTCCTACCAAGTCAATTTCCCTCTCAGTTGTGTTTTCATAAAGCGTCGATTTGAAATGCTGGTAAGGAGACAAAAGCTCTAATTGTGGTGGTAAGAAATACGCACACATCGGATATATACATAACCGACTAGTAGGTATTGATTGTATTGATCATAATTTCTTGATGGAAAAGAAAAGAAATTCCTTTTCCAGACGCGGCAGAATATTTCTGCTACAACTAAGGCCAGCATATGATGTTTTTCTGTATAATTCCTTAACCTCTTTGAATTTAAAATCCAAGTCTATTCACCTCTTTTCTTTCTTTAGGACCAAAAATGCTAAGCGAATTTTAATAAGTTGATAGCTCAGAATACAAACAAGTTTGGTTGACATAAGAGAAGATCCAGAACGGTCGTTGGCAATCACAGAAACACAAATTGACTCTAAGAAAGGCAAGAAACGTTTGTTTAACTCAGCATTTGTAGAGGTCTTAAATACCACACAGGGCAATGAGCGCCGGATTTCCCATAGCAATAGTTGTCACATTCACATGTGTTTCCTTCCTAATTTTTCTGTCGTCAATCTTGGAAAACTCATTTGTTCTTTGGCTGTGCTACAAACTAAAACGATAACCAGAGTCTTCTTTGACGTGTTCCATCCAACCTGGCAATTGCAGAAGTAGCATTTACGGGACTGACTATTTTTTACTTGATAGTATTCTTGTGGACCTGGGTAGGCGGCGAGATATCCTGTAAACTACAAGGCTTTGTCGTTGAAGCATGTTACTCCACCTTCATATTGATTCTGTTCTTATCCGTTTTAAGCGTCTGAAGGCTGTGGTAGACCCTTTAAGTGTCAGACTCATCACAAGGGAAAACATGCTACGAAAGTTAATCGCCGTTTGGTCAGTTAGCGGAGTCGTCGCTTCGCCTTTCCTTTATGCTTATTAAACTCAAGCAGATGACACACGAACCGTTTCCTGCACGAATATCATGTTCGGGGATTTAGGGCGACAGATCAATATACTATTCACGCATTTTGTTTTTTTCTTGTACCTCTTGTCTACATGATAATTGTTCAGAAGAAAATGTTTCTATCCTTTCGCTCAAGCGTTGCATCAAATACATCAAACACCATAGTTTCCTTGCGCTATAAGCAGCGTTGGCAGCGTTCGTAATATGTTGGTTACCTTTCACGGGTCACACGCACGATGTTGTTCTTCCATCTCACTAGTGGTGGTTATGTATGGCGATTTTCCAATTACTGATTCTGTTAAATACGGTCTTAGATCCAATATTATATGGAGTCTACGGAGAAGCTATAAGGCAGTATGCTCGAGGTTTATTCAAGAAAACAGGATGGACCCCGTTTCCCCGTGTGGACCCTCTCCGCGACAGACAAGAAAGAGTGCAAGTAACGGATTCACAAGCCATGGAACTTTATTTTATGAAGAAAAATAAACCGGAATAATTTAGTGAAGTGTTGGCTTGGCCGTTCATCTCCTGACTGAGGTGCCGACAAGAAGAATTTGAGCTTCTTCAGTTGGTGATCATTTTATTTACTCGCGGGATCTTAAAGTTTGATTCGAAGGTGATACTGAGTGAGAAATTGGATGCTAGTCACTCTTGAATTGGTCATAACCTAGGAAATCACAAAACAATGCTTTGCTGCGAGATTTTTTTTCGTTTATTAGAAGTAAATCGTTATTTTTAAGAACCAGCAGAACGGAACTGAATGAAATAAAAGCCATCGGAACTTTTTCCCCCAGGGAGTTATTTGGATTTGTGTGACGATTTTAGCGTTTAGCACTTTGCTCCATTATGCATTTCGTAAATTCGAAGTATGCCAAGTTTAGCTCAGGAGGAAAAAAAAATTATGGCATGTTAAAACTGGGTTAAGGTGGTGTAACACTACCAAAATGAAGATTTCGTCAACACTGATGACGTAGATATAATTTTGATATCTAGTGTTAAAATATAAGATATATCTAGAGTCAACTATGTTTGGGTGCATGCTTTGGTGCATTTCCGCAAGCGATGCTCGTGAGACCCCGCATAACCACACTGTCAAGAAAGGCTATGATAGCTCTTTTTTCCTAGCTATTTTCAAAGAAGAATGCATGTCACACACTTTCATGAAATCTATATTTTCATAGCTTCTTATATGTCAGTTGGAACCACAATGTGCTCTCTCATTGACCGATAGACGAGATAGGAGTATTTATCATTCAACTTCACAAATAGTTTATGAGAGTAAAAGAGAACAAATTCCGTGGTTTACATAGCCCCACCTAAACATTCAAGTCAATTTTGGTTTTATCAACTGAGTTGAGTTTCAAAGCTGACGTTTCGAGCGTTTTAGCCCTTCATCATCGCTCTGACTGACGTAAAACTTAACGAGGAGACAAAAGTTACATCGGAAGAAAAACCATTACCATCGATTCCGCTTTGCTTTCAGGAAACATTTTTTTTGAATAATGATTGTATAAGTGTGAAACACCTCCTTAGAAAATTTCTCATTACCAACAGAATGGTGCGGCAAAAATTAGGGATCAACTTAACGATAAAGTCATTGAGATCCCTTTCATTGAAAGCTAAGAGCAACAATCCACCACCAATTTACAATATAACGCCCTTTATATAGTCCTATAGTACCCTAAATATGCAGCTGTCGATGGAGAACTTTAAAAAAAAGGTGGTAAAACAACGAATAATAAAAATAAAATGCATTTGAAGCGGGGGAAAGAAAATAGATAAAGCAAAAGCAGTCTTGGCATAAAACAATTGTACTTTGATTAGTTCTGTGGCGCCTTAATAGAAACTGCCTAAGTAAACAAAACAGAGAGGTGTGAAAAGTCAGCTTTTGAATTGTTCGGGATATTGAAAAAAGGAATATTTTACCCAATCCAAAATAGCGGTAAGTGATATCTCTCTATAAAAATACAAGAGAATGAAATGTATACTTGAGAACTTAATATGTTAGACACAAGGCATGAGCCCTTGGCAGCCACGAAGGAGTGTTCCATGATCTACAAGAATCGTAGCGAGTGTGTTTCTTTAAAGCCAGACACAAGAACAAAGGAACAAAAAAAATATGAAATAATTTTCCTGATTTAATTCACACTTTCGCATTTGTAATCCGTAAAGTACACACCAACGTTTTCAGGGATTAATTTTGTGCAAGGAGCCTCTGCAAGTCCATTTGGTTCCTTATACTTGTGGGAATAAAAAGTTAACGAGACACAACATCATTAAGAGAGGAAAAGGAAAGAAAGGCAATTGGCATTGAATGAAAAGTTCTTCAAGATATTTCGATCGAATTGCCATGCTACCTCTCTTAATTTAGCCAAGTTAACTTCTATTTCAATATTTACTCTATTTTTTGTTTAATATTGAAAAAATGAAGGAGAAGCACCGCAACCCAAATATACTACTGATGTAGTATATTTTGTATGCGAAAGATAACGTAACAAACACAGGCAAACAAAACAGAAAAAGATGGAGAAGTAACTTGTCTGAAGTAAAGATATATATTTTAACTGCACAATTATCGTAGCGTTGATATAAATCATACAGTCCAACACAAGAAATAAATGGTCTAATATGTTTAAATGTTGTCGAGTTTAAGTACGCAATATGAATTATGGAACTACATCACATTCATGACAGTTTACATGCACCTTCTCCTTTCCAATGCTCAAGAGTCTCTGATTCAAATTCGAACTCTATAGAGCTTGTTAAGCATTTAATGGTTTGCACAGAACCTGCGAATAATACGCTTGATTTCTCTCTATTATGGTATTGATGACTGCCGGATATATGCCAATACCATTTTTTACAACGTTAACGAGAATAAAAGACCGTGCGATTTCTACCAAAACCATCAATCATCGAAAAAGATCGCAGAAAGAAAGGAAACGATACGATTATTACCAAACAATAGTGAAATATATTAGCAAAATAAAAGCGCCAGGTACCACCGCGGAAAAAGTCCAGAATATATGGGATTGAGGCTATCTAAAACGGGACAAACTGGCTGTTGTAAACTTGAAATAAACAAAAAATACACGACCTGACTCCAAATAGGGGCCTTTCTGTTTAAGGTCATTTGAAATTCTGTAATCTTTTTGGCCAACTGACATCTTACTATCTTTGTCAAAAGGAAAATGACTAATGGTACGATTGTAATATATCATTTTAATAATATACGAAAATGAAAAAAGCAAAAAATTAACGCGAAAGCATACAAGGGAGAATCAGAACCAAAAACCTTTCAGTAATAACTCGGGAAGAAAGTGTAACAGAAGACATTTGGCGACATCAACTACAGTCACATAATCAAGCGAATTTAGTAGCCAGTTACGTTTTTGCAGCAATGTACGTGTATACGCGCTCCTGTGCTACATTGAAATTACATTGTTTCCTAAACGGCTTTAAAAGTGTATTTATTTTACAAAGGAAAATAACTAAGATTAATGGCAGCATTTCCTGCTTGATGGTGGTGTTAATAGTCTCATTAATGTGAATGAGACATAAAAGTTCGTTTCACCTACAATATAAGTAGAGAGTTTCCTTAAATTATTTGGAGACCACGAACTATCGTTATCTTCTCAGCCTTGAACACCACATGACCCGCGCTTGGGCAAGACGATAACTAACAAGCTAATCGATAATGTGAATGTTTGACTGCTGGGGATTCCGTTTCGGAAGCTTTAAACTAACACGGCTTATTTCCAAAAAAACCATTGTTGAGGAGAGCAGGAAAATTAATTAATTTGAGAAACTAGAGGGTAAGCTGTGTTCTTGATTGCGGTTAATCCATGATATTTAACCTTAACCTTGATATTCAACAATAAACAGTGAGTAATTTGCAAGGATAAACTGACACAGCGATAAGATGAGCAAACTCAACAAAAATGCCACTTTGTTATTTTTGCAGTATACTTCACTGGTCATACCTAGTTTGAAATAGACAGCAGAGGTTAGACAGAAAATCAACCAAATTGCATTAATCAAGAAAAGCAAATAAGAAAACAGCGACTTACATCATCAGAGCTGGCATCCAACGACAATTTTTCTCTAATGGTGATAGGAGTTTTGATATTTTATGGTTTTATTCTCATCACTTCACTTATTGGAAACATATGGGTTTTGGTGACATGTTATCGGAACTTGAACCGAAATCGGTTTTCTCCGATGTGGTACGTGGCAAATTTAGCATTTGCCGATCTCCTTTTCACTTTTCTCACTCCTTTCCACGCCATTAATTTTAGTTGGCGTTGGGTCGGCGGTGACGTAATTTGCAAACTTCACGCATTTCTCGTCGACACGAGCTACAATACTTCAATCACAACCCTTGTGGTTATAGCTTACCTAAGACTCAAAGCTATCACAGATCCTTTCAATTCTAGAGGCGACAACTTTTCCAACAAGGAATACATCAAAATCGTTTTAATCTGGTGTATGTGCTTGGTAATTTCCTCACCCACAGCAAGTATGAACAAGGTCGAAACCAATGAGGATGGGAAACTGATTTGCACCAACACCTCTTGGGGAAGCATTGGCAGGGAAATATACTACACCGTACACGCAATACTTTTCTTCATAATTCCATTGATCTATATGATTGTAACACAAGGAAAGATATTCCGCTCTCTTCGGGCGAACGTCATTCCAATGTGCAACTCGCACATCATCAACACAAATCAAAGACATAAGAAAGTTGCAAAGACACTTGCAGCTCTTTCTCTTGCCTTTTTTTCTTGTCAGTCTCCGTTTATGATTCTTAGACTGCTGAAGTGTTTTAACTTAGTGTCCCCCGGTCTAGTCTGGAGAGCGGCTCAACTGATGATATTTCTGAATGTGGCACTCGATCCTTTATTATATGGCTATTACGGAGAAAATTTGAAGTCTAAGGTTCGACGATTCCTTCGATGTAATTAACAGGACGGGTTGAACTCCGAGAACATCCCTGCAAAATCATCTCAGGCTTCTCACGAGGTGTACGGGTAACACCTGCCACATTCTCGTAAAACTAACCGAGGAGACATTAGTTACATCGGAAGAACACCATTACTATCGATTCGGCTTTGCTTTTAGGAAAATAAGTTTTTGGATAATGATAGTATAAGTGTGAAACGCCCTCTTGGAAAATTTCTCATTATCGACAGAATGATGCAGCAGCAGCAAAGTTTAGAGTAACAATCCACCACAATAAAGGTTCAACAATCTACCAATTTTTGAAGCAGGTAAGCAGAAAAAATTTTGCGGCAAAACTTTGCTTTGACCCCTTAACTTTTCATACTTGTGATTCTCTCTGACAATGACACTTTTTCCTTTTAGGTCTTATGATCCAGCAACAATGTAACAAATGTGTCTGTTCACACATCTTGTTGTATTATAACAACTTTCAGATAAAGTCGTAATGTATATTCATATGGAGATACAAATGTACATACTTCTACATTGCCGCTTCAATTTTGGATACGTATCTTGCAGATGTACCGTATTTACCCGTGTATAATGCGCACTTTTTTTCCATAAAAACAAGCATC